AATGAATGAATGAATGAATGAATGAATGAATGAATGAATGAATGAATGAATGAATGGAAGCTAAGAAAGGATAAAAATGAAATTTCTTTCTGCTGTGCTTCTTTCCTTTAAGTGCCCTTGCACTGCCTGTTTATCATTTTCTCATTCTTTCTTTCTTAGCTATGCTTAGCCAATAAAACTTTACCTCATCCTATTACACTGAAGTTGGGAACTATCCTGAAAGGCTGCTGGGGCAGGAACTCCCACCATCCCCTGTTTTGGGGCAGTGGAATTTCGCAGAGCTGCTATGTGGGGTAGAAAGTCAGATGGCAGGATGAGAGCGACTTGTCTGTGCACCATCCTGCTAATTCCTTGATTAGCCTGTACCACTGCCAATGTATACATAGGTGGTCTTCAATAGTATCTTGATAGAATAAGATGGCATTTTCACATACAGTATTATGGGTTGCAGTTGCTTTGTTTTGGGGTGTAGTCTGTAGGTGCCAGTTGTCTGTTTTCTCTCAGCCACATATTTCTTTAGATTTGGGGTCAGGGTTGTAATCTAAATTTAATAATTTAATCTTGACCCATCAGTTAAGCGAAGGAGGCAAATGCTGAGCTATGATTGATTGCTTCCCATGTTGGAAAACAAACACAGACTAGACAGTAGGCACCAGTGCTAGGAACACAATTGCATTGTCCTACTCAGCATTTTCTTTCTAACTTGCTGGATTTATGTTGGAACCAGTCTTGAACAGTTTTGCCACTTTGCTTTTCTATTATAATTCCTGCTGTTTTCTATTTTTCTTCAGCAGAGGGTTGCTGCTTTAGTCAGACTCTGGGGAATTATTTCTGAATCAAAGCACTAAACAGTAATAAATTAGGGCTACAATACCTTTTTTCATAGACTGCTGTGACAAATTATGGACTTATTACTTTATTTCAGCAGGTATTCTACAGCTAGATTTGCACAACCACTAAATCAGGTCAGTGAAAGACCTAGTAGATATATTTGCACAGCCTATAAGTTAGTTTTTACTAGGTTAGGGTTTTTTTGTGCTTAATGGGTTGTGTGAACCCATTGGGATGGATAGTTTATGATTCAGTATCTTGTGTGAACCCAGAAAATGGATTAATTGTATAATTGTATAGTTAGCCAATGTAAACACAAACTCTGTGTGTGTGTAAGAGTTAGGTCTCTTTACATTATTAATTTGTTGTGCCTGCATCTTAAATATGTGAGAAGGAGAAAGTAAGCATGGGAGGTCAGAGTACATGTTTTCATGGTCTGAAGAGGGAAATCAAATTGAGGTAGAAACGTTGTAGAAAAAAAAAACTCAAACAACTTCAAAGTCATTGTTCATATTTGCACTTTGGGCCCCCTCAGTTTCTTGTTCAAGTAGTTTACTGTATAGAGATAGGGAGTGCTGTGGAGAGGCGGAACTGATGGCCCTCTAGGCGGTACTGATCTCTCAGCCAGAAGACCACAAATGCTATATATCTGTGTTGGTTTAATGTCCTGTGTGAACTCAGACACTGGGGTTTATAAACCATGGTTTATCATTTAGTGCCATGATAAATTAAAATAAATTAAAATAAACCCAGCCAATTATGACTTATTTCTAGTTAACAAACCATATCTTTGTATGATATGTTAACCAGGTCAATAGAAACTAACTGACAGTGAAGAGTAGCCAGATTATGCTCATCAGGACTTGGTAATTTCCCTTGAATTAAAAGACCCAACTTTCACTAATTTCTACAGTGTTTGACCCCAGTAACAGAGAAAACTAACTGAAGTATCCTGATGTTGCCCTTTTACTGCCAGATGAGAGTGGAAACAAGTCATCTGCCTTTATTGATGATTATAATCAGACAGTCTGTCACTTCTGCACTCTCCAGACTGAAAATCTGAGAGATTTGTGGCAGCTCCAGTTTCTTATATCCATTTGTCATAAATTCCCATGTTTGGGAAATTGGAAGGCCTGTACACTGGCATTAACTATGTCCCATGTTATGCACAGAAGCCAAAATCATATGCATGGGAAAGAGATTTTTGCAATATTTTTACATGTTCAGAACAGTATAGAGAAATAGTGGAGTTATACAATATATAGAGGTGATTAGTCTAATGAGCGAAGAAGCACAGTTTGCCTTGATGTGCATGCTTTGAGTCATAATTCTTGTACTGTAGGAAGAAGATGTAAAAGATTTAACTTAAAAAATATGCAAGAAGAAATTACTCCTGGAGCTGTTGGATAAGCATTGCATGGCAAAAGAGATAGAGAATCTTGGAATCAAAAACATTACCATCCTATAGCCATTCATTATACCTGAATGTTAGTAATGTGACTTGGTGGCCTCCACTTAAGGATCTTGTTTCATAGCTACTTTCTGGTAGGCGAGTTATTGAAACTCCATGCAAGACAATCTTTGCTAAAGCCTGAATATAACTGAGTGGACCCAAGGATCTTATAGTCCTTTGTTGCCTGTGGAAGTCCTATTCCCAAAAAGGGACTGCTAGGAACATTACCTGCATTTTCTTTTTGCGTTTATTGTAAATCCAGGGGAATGATGTTTATCTGCCATAATGTTGATGCAGTCTGGTTGTCTTCTAAAAAAAGAAGGGAGCAATCATTTAAGTCCTAGAGCTAGCCAAATAGGAATATTGCATCAGGCTTTATTCTTAGTTCTGCCAGATACGCAGTATCGTGCCTGTGTGCTATGAGAATTTCTTGTTTTATTACATGTCCATTTTTACTGCAGAGGGATTTGCATTTTCATACTCCTAAAAAAGAACAAGGCAGAGCAAGAAGAAGAGACAGCAGCCTCAAATGGTTTGGCTTGCTGGTCAAAGCCAACCTTTTCTACAAGAATATTGATTGTCTGAGATACTCCTTCTTCAGCAGTTGTCTGGGTCTGTCCTTGGCAACTCTGTCTTCTCTAGATCAGTTCAAAGATATATCTTCTGGGGACCAGGGACATGACGAACACCTTCATAGTTGTCATAGCTCCAGGGTTTACCTTTATTTTAGCCCTGCATATAATACTAAGTCATAATCTTACAGCACTTGTTTATTTTTATCTTAGCATGATATGGTTTTCAAACTATATTCTGCCCCTTGAACAGGGTTTCTATATCAGAATGCTCCAAACTGATATTAACATTTACCATGATGTATGGATCAAGCAGGATTTATCTATTATTGGAAATTATCCACATTCAAGATACTTTAGTTTCAGAAGTAGACTATTCAAAATGCAGTCTTCTCTCCAGGTCTTGAAAATGGGCATGAACTGCTGGGAAGCTTAACCATTCAGCCTGTAATGAAATGCTTCTTGGCAGCTCCTGTTCAAATTGAGTTTATAGAGGAGAATTTTCTAATGTGGCTTTCACCAACCTCATGTCCCCCAGATATGTGGAACGTTTCTCTCATGTGAGACAAATGAAGTCTGATAATAGACAGTATATTGGATTTGTTAGACTACCTTGTATTCTTTTTTCTGCTATGCTAGAGCATCTCCCTAGAATGTTAAGGAATCTGTTGGCCTGCTTTGAAAATTGGCATAATGTTTGATTTATATAAATAATGAGGTTAACATAAATCAAATGCACTACAAGACACTGAAAGATGAAATCTCATTAATTTGGATGGGGTGGCATTGTTACTGAGATGAAATCAGGGATCAAGATAGAAAGCTTGAAGTACAGTTTAGGAATAAATAGGAAGAAAAGTAGGAAATTTCCCCCTTTCCTAATACTTTGAAAAGTGAATAACCATAGGGGAAAAAAAAGAGAATAGAGAGTCTAAGCTGCGGTACTGCTTGTGTTTTGAAAGATACAGTATTATCATGGACAAGGATACATCAGTTCTTTGAGGAGACAGGTAACTGCTAAATATACCTAACTTGGTTGAGAAGATGACACATAACTTGGTAGCAAAGATTGTGAAGAAATATTAGATTTGCCTTTTGCTGTTCAGGATGAAATGACTGCAAATTTGGGTCTGACCACAACAAAAGCCCTAACTATTCTGAGAGACCAGCTATCAACACTGCTGGAAGGACATCAGAAGGAAAGGAAGAAAGTGATTTCATGGAAGGTAAGCATTGCAACTTTGTGAAGTTATCTCTCTTAGTTTTGCATGCTTTTATATTTCTTTTAAGAACATGTGCATTTTAGGCAAAAGCTTAAACTTTGAACAAGTGTACTTATTCTAGTCCACATAGGAAAGCAAGGTTGTTAATTAATTAATTAATTAATTAATTAATTAATTATAGAAATTTATATGGCCACCCATCTTATTCAGATAACTCTGGGCTGCTACCAAGCATAAAAACAGAAACATATATATAAAAGAATTGGGAAAAACGATAAAAGATGTCAGGTTAAAAAATCAACTCAATAAGCTCAAGGTAAAAACACAAACCATTACCAAACATTGGAATATGACAGTTAGTTTCCAGTCCATTTTGCCTGTGGGCAATCAGCATTCAAATTCAGTCCTCTGAAGCTGAAGGAAACTGGCAGTAGTTGGGAAAGAATATGAACATTACCAGGTTGGTGGGTACCCTGACACAAGAGGCCCACCTTCCTCCCCTGTCACTACTCCCCTGTCACTACTCCTTATATATGGCTTGTCTACCTTTAATCTAAATGTGTGGATTTGAGGATAACTTTCTGTGCTTAAAGGCAGTTCTCAATTTATTTTTTGATTGCGAGTGATTTTTGGTGTTCAGGGAAGTGAAAAACTTGATTTCAGCAGTAGGGGGCAGCTGGGATGAGGGTTAGGCCACCATGGGGTCTAGGGGAAAATTGAATGTCAAGCTTCGATTTGGAATGACTTTTTTTATGGTTAGAGCCATTTCTGGATTTATTGTTGGTTGCTAGTAACCTTTACTGTTCAGGGAAGGAAAAGTAATAATTCCAGGGTGACAGTTTTCCATGATCTTTCTTATTGTTGAGAGGCCATAACAAAGAACTAGGCATTCTTTGTAGATAGGGTTCATGAACATCCATCCATCCATCTATCTATCAATCAAGTATGGAATATGGATGACAAGAATCTTGTATGTACAATCCTTGCTGTCCAGTGAAAATTATTTTCACTATTGTTCTCTTGCTCTTGGCAGTCAGATAATAAAGTCTAGTTTCCAATTGTGAATGTAGCCATTTTCCTTATGCTTGTCCTTTTGTAGGAAGTATGGAAGGCCAGTTTCCTACATCATGGCAACCGTTGTTCCTGTTTTCACTGGCCAGGGGCATCCCTGATGCTTTTAACTATGCTGCTACTATTCTGCTGCTATGGGAGCCAGCCACAAGGAAGGTAAAGTATCTATGAATTTTCTTACCCTTCAGTTCATATTGGAAAACTGCTGATATTCTATGGAAAACCATAAACCTGTTTTTTTTTCTTTTTTGCATAATCATAATTTAAAATTCACACAAATTCAGCCTGGATCATTATCAAACCCATGAACATTTCCAGGCAGGTTGAAAACACATTATAATAATAATACCTTGATCTGGTGACAATAGGAAGAGTGTGAGTGTGTGTGTGTGTGTTAAAGTTATAATGGATTCTTCAAAGGAAATTATTTATTTATATCATTATCGTATATATTTTACATTTTCCACAGTATGAACCCAACATCTACCCCAAAACTCTTGCTTTTGCCTTGCACCAATGGTTGGACATGGAATAAAAACTGTTAAGATTTAAGCATGTGGGTGGATTCATAGGAGACCAAGTGATTATTGGCTGAAAGTTAGCAGGATTGGTGATATGGCTGTGCAACTGCCTAATCACTCTTAAGACGTCATACTTTATTCCCCTTTGTTGGCTGCCTTCATGCTTATGAAACTCACCCAAGTATTTTTGACAGACTGCTATGGAGAATGTTTTCAGCTTGCTTCAAAATCATGGGTGGACATTTAGTTTGGTACAGAGTCCTGGGGCCACCAATGCCTAGCCTTGAAAGAATCTTATGTCCCTTTTAAAATGCTTATTCAAAGAAATATTGACAGTCATGACTTTTCCTAGTGCTGCAGCCAAAGGACTAAAGCTGTTTTAGCTGATGAATTTCATCAAATCCAGAACTATAATAAGGAGCCTACCTGGCTTTGAGAGCTCTGCCATGTAGAGTTAGATTATGAGCCACATGATTGAAGCTGATTTACATATTTAAATGCACCTCAGGAGAATACTTTTACACATTGCCCATATTGTTAAACTGCAGATCAGAGCATAACTCACAAACAATTTGCGTGTCAGCTTAGGACAGAGGAGGGGCACCCCTAGCCCTCTCCTTGCTGTTGAATGAGAATTCCCATCATGTCTGACTTTTATCCATGCAACTTGGAACTAATGAGATTTGATATTCAGCAACATCTGGAGAACCATAAGTGGCCCAGCCCCGCACTAAAATTCCACCTTTTAAATATATGGTGTCTTTGTTGATCCAGATTCATCAAAGAATTTGAGAAGGATTTTGCAACCCAGAGATTTGAAAAATTTAATACATGTGGAGAATCTCTATAGTGTTGCTGGTTTTTTCCCCTCAGATTAGCAAACATGTTGTTAAATTGCTGGGCAGCTTTATTCTTTAAAGAACCAAAAATCTCATATTATTTCCTTTGAAGAACTTTATAAATTGCATGAAAGTCACTTGTCAGCTGATAGCTCCCTGAAAGATGCACTAAGAATCTCTTTGCTAGGGTAATCACTGTTACCGTAGTTCTATTTAAGGTGAGTTGGAGAAAACATGTGAAAAAGAAAAGGGAAGAATAAGCAAGAGAGTTGTGGAAGAAGGCAGAGTCATCTTCATAAGCCTCATATGTTTTATAAGGCAGGGTTTTTCAATGTAGCCAAGCTGAACAAAGGATGTATAACATCAGTTTTATCTAATCAGGACTCTGTCCAGACACGTGGACTTCAACTTCCAGAATTCTTGTGGTGGCTGGAGAACACTAGAAGATGCAGTCCACCAATGTAGGGGCTGCCCTGGTTGAGAAAGGCTGTGAGACTCATTGTGAAGCATTTGTGATCATATGCCTATTATAGCCGAGATACAGAGCCATCATTAGGGCTGCTAGCTATATGGGCTTCCCCCAGGCCTTCTCAGTTTCCAGGAACCTGAGCAGCACCAGCCCAAGATGCTTTGTGGCTTGAAGTGAAGGGTAAAATAGTAAAAGATAAGGTACTCAGAAGTCAGTCAGACTGGCAGTTTAATTTTGTTTTATTGCTGTTAGCAAGCAATGGGATGCACATACAACTCTGTTACCTCCCATCCTTTTATGAACAGCTGACTGAGACAAATGCCTTTCTCTAATGGTTGGCTAGCCCTGAGAGAACTGAAGAGAAATCTATTGTTTATGTCTTATAATCTCACTTACTTTCCTGCTATGGTTGCATGATTTGAACGAAAAGGAGGTGTAAATCCTTCTTGGGCTAACAGCAGAGTCTTCCTTGCTGACTCCTGTTGGCATTTATAGGTAGGAATCAAACCTGCTCTGTGTCTGGCCATAGTTCATTCAGCTACTTAGAACGTCCAGTGTTTGCTTTAAACAGTGAAGGTTCAGAAATCGTAAATGCCTTGGCACTGTTCTTCCTGGTGCTACTTGACCTTTTTGTGATTGGACGGCAAGAGAGGATGAAACGCTGGGAAGTTGAGAGGAGACTTCGGAAAATCATCAGCAGAATAAATGGTAAGACCACCTCCTCCTCCTCCTCCTCCTC